TGGCAGCGAGGGGAGGGTCGAAGTGGCTGAGGTGGGCGTGGTTAGTTCTTAAAGTGATAGCAAAGAATAACAAAGGTCTTGTCTTATTTTTTTGTCTTCTTTGTTGTTGCTAGATTGGGTTTGTTTATTTTTAGACCTAAGAAAGGGGGAAAGAAGAGAAAGAAAAAATTACTAGTTTTTAGTTGCCTTCTTGTGCCAGGATCTCATGCTATAGCTTAGTTCTTCACGGAACTCAGATGTGGAGCCCAGGCTGGTCCCGAACTCTTGGCGCATCTTCCTGCCTCAGCTTCTCAAGTGGTGGTGATGTTGTCTAGAGGTGGAAGAACAGTTTCATTTTCTCTGCTAATTAAAGAATTAAAGGCAGGCCAGAAGGGTCACCAGGATTCTTGGGGAGCCCCAGCAGATCCTCATATGATAGCTGAGAAATCAGGGTTTCCTCCTGGGGGGTCTCAGTTTCACTAATAAAAGAATTTAAGAATGAACACAAATGGAAGCTCAAAGAGAACTGATTCAAACCAAAGCCCAAGCCGGGCGGTGGAGGCGCACTCCTTTAATCCCAGCACTCGGGAGGCAGAGGCAGGCGGATCTCTGTGAGTTCGAGGCCAGCTTGGTCTACAAGAGCTAGTTCCAGGACAGGCTCCAAAGCCACAGAGAAACCCTGTCTTGAAAATCCAAAAAAAAAAAAAAAATCAAACCAAAGCCCAGGGCAGGTGAGCTAAACCTCAGAGCTTCCTGGAAGGGAGGAGCAGGATGAGGAAGAGAAGAGACAAACACCACCCTGCTGGAGGTCAACCACCTGGAGGCAGCCATGGGTGGGGATGAGAGATCAAAGAAGCCTGAAACTTCTTAGGGCGCTTCAGAGGGGTTTAGGCTCTGGACTAGCACCCAAGAGGAAAAGGAGAGAAGAGTGATTATACCAAAAAAGAAAAGGAGGAAGTGGGGGCTTGGGGTTACACCTTCTGAGTCAGGCCTCAGACTAGGCCCAGTGGAACCCCATGGTAGCTCAACCAGTAGGGACTGCATTAAGGGGTGGGGATTCTGAGAAGGAACACTACATCGTAGATGAGCTTGCCTTCTAGGAGTGCCCCTCGCCAGGTTCTTGGTCTGCCCACTGGCTAAGAGCCCATCTCCACCCAGAGGTGTATGTTTTCTTTACAGTGAGTGGGTCCACAGGTACTGGCCTCCGCCCCAGGTCTTGGCTTCCTTTCCAATGTAGCTGTAATGTTTTGATATGGTACCTTTTCATTATCTTTCAGTCCTAAGAATACTGTGCATTGTAGTGTGTGTGTGTGTGTGTGTGTGTGTGTGTGTGTGTGCGCGCGCGCGCCTGCAGGCAGAGGCATGCCAGGGATCACATGGAAGTCCAGGACAGGCCTCAGGTGCTAAATTCCTCAGGCTTGCACTTGAGTCTTCTTTACCCACTGAGCCATCTCACTGGCCCCATTCCTTTATTTTTAAGCCTTTTTGTTTATTTTTTTTGAGAAAGGGTTTCTCTGTAACTCAGCCTGGCCGGGAACTCATTGAGCTCCTCCTATTCTTTTCTCCAGAGTATTGAGATTAAAGGGTTTTTTTTTTTGTTTGTTTGTTTTGTTTCCTTTTTGGTTTTTCAAGATGGGGTTTCTCTGTGTTGCTTTGGAACCTGTCCTGGAACTAGCTCTTGTAGACCAGGTTGGCCTGAACTCACAGAGATCCACCTGCCACTGCCTCCCGAGTGCTGGGATTAAAGGCATGTGCCACCACTACCCAGCTGAACGATTAATGATATTTTAAAGTTATGTGCCAGCTCAAATTAAAAAACAAAATGAAACAGGATCTCATGTAGCTCAGGTTGTCCTCAAACATGTAGCAGAGTGTTTGGAATATTTATCTGTGTAAATGTGTATTACCTTGGGAGCTGGAGAGATGGCTCAGAGGTTAAGAGCACAGACTGTTCTTCCAGAGGTCCTGAGTTCAATTCCCAGCAACCACATGGTGGCTCACAGTCATCTATAATGAGATTCGGTGCCCTCTTCTGGTGTGCAAGCATACATGGAAGGAATGCTATATACATAATAAATAAATAAATCTTTTAAAAAATGTGTACCACCTTATTTCATACTGCATTTGTTTAATTATGTAAAGGTGTGTTGCTGTTGCACCTTGCTTGCCTAAGGCACCTGACTGGTCTAATAGAAATCTGAACAGCCAATAGCTAGGCAGTAGAGGGATAGGTGGGGCTGGCAGGCAGAGAGAATAAATAGGGAGAGGACTCTAGGCTCAAGAGAGAATGAAAGAAGAGGACCGAACAAGGGAGAAAGAGAGGGACGTATTCAGCCCCATTCTGCATGCAGCCATGCCGAGGAGGACACCAAAATAAGAAGCCACATGCCCAGGGCCATCATGATTCCCTGATGGCCAGCTGCAGGGTGTCCCGGTTCGTTCCAGCACACCAGGAGCACACAAGTACACCAGGAACAGCACCAAGAAGTCCCTGGCTATCAGGCCTTTCCTAACCTAGGCCTTCTTGCCTTCCCTGCTGCCTCAGGATTAAAGGAGCTGGAAAATGGCTGAGCTGAGGTCTTTGTTGGCAAGAGCCTGCCACCAGTTTCTCTGTCCTCTTCAGCCCTAGCAACATGGCCTGGGAACACTAGGTCTTTCAGAAAAGGCAAACAAATGGACTTGGGTGGGGAAGTCTGTGTGATCTGAGAAGCAGGCGGAGATACAGTTAATTGGGATCTGCATGCATGTTGTCAAACATCCTTGCTCATGGTATACATGTTCAGAAAATCATGGTACGGGCACCATCTGAAAGTAGTGCTTTCAGTCTCGGCACACGAAAGGCCACTCATGAAACACTCGTGAAGTACTTGCAAGGTCTCAGGAGAAGACACAGTGTCCTGGAAGCAGGTCACTGGAAGGTAACCCAGGCAACTATTGTGTCCACGACCTACATCAGCTGAGTCATCTACAGCAAAGCCAGTGGGGCACTAGGAAAGTACTGTTCAGCTGTGGTCCTGCCTTCTTTCCATATCCTCATATCCTCACCCTCCTCCCTCCCTCCCTCCCTCATTTCTCCTGCTTCTGCTTCAGGAGGAGTTGGGTTAGACGTGTGCACTAGGCTTCTCTACAGCTAATACAGCCCCTAGTAAGAAGTCAGTGTAATTTTTTTTCAAAGATAAGTGTTAAATTGGGAACATAGCCCCCAGTCCTCGCATCCATCCCAGCCCCCAGGCCTGAAAGTTGTATTGGTCTGGACTCCAAATCCCAGCACTCCCACAGGGTATTTAAGTGAGCTCCCAAAGGAAAATCATGTAGTTCCCACCACCACCACCACCTAGAGCGTAGGAATCCCATTAAACCTGGATAGTTTTAGTTTGGCTTGTTGTGATTTGGCTTGATTGGGATTTTTGCGTTGGCAGAGAGCTCATGTTAGGAAAAATTCCTAACAATAAGATCTTATGTAGCCCAGGTTACATGTGTCACCATGGCTGACTCTAATTTACTTTTGCAGTGGAGTCTCATGTTATCCAGGCTGTTCTGGAATGGGTAGGCTTGTCATCCCTATTCAGCCTTATTTTTTTCAAGATTTTTTATAAATGGGGTGGGGGGAGCGCTAGAGAGATGGCTCAGAGATTAAGGGCACGGGCCACTCTTCCAAAAATCCTGAGTTCAATTCCCAGCCCGAAACTCTGTGTAGACTAGACTGACCTCAAACTCACAGAGATCTACCTGCCTCTGCCTCCACCTCCTAAGTGCTGAGGTTACAGATCTGGCATCACACCCAACAGATTTTTATGTTATTATCAATGTATGTATGTCCATGTACCACATGTATGCCTGATGCCTAGGGATGACCATAAGAGAGAAGCGAGAAAAATATGGCGGTTCACAACCATCTATTACGAGATCTGGTACCCTCTTCGGGCATGCAGGCAAACGTGCAGGGAGAACACTATCTTCACAATAAGCAATCTTTAAAAAATTTAAAAATGGCCGGGTGGTGGTCACACACGTCTTTAATCCCAGCACTCGGAAAAGGCAGGCGGATCTTTGTAAGTTAGAGGCCAGCCTGATCTACAAGAGCTAGTTCCAGGACAGGCTCCAAAGCTACAGAGCAACCCTGTCTCGAAAAAACAAAGCAAAACAACAACAACAAAAAAAGTGTGTATGCATGTGTGCCCACACACGTGTGCCAGGGTGCACACTTGGAAGCCAGAGGTGAATATCGGGTGCCTGTATCTGTTGCTGTCCACCTTACTTTACGAGAAACGGTCTCTCACTGAACCCAGAGCTCATCATTCTAGCTAGACTGACTGGCCTGCAAGCCCTGGGGCTCCCCACTCCCCAACACTGGGGTTATAGTATGTGCTGCCATGCCTTGATCTTTTGTGGGTACTGGGAGCCCAAACCTAGGTCTTCAGGCTTGTGCAGCTAACACTTTATCCTCAAAGCTCTCCTCAACCTCAAAGAGCTAACTCTGTTGTTGTGAGACAGTTTCTGCTCATCCTGGTTGGCAAGGAACTGTCTAAGGCCTTCTCTTGTTCTCTGATACTTCCTATTTCATTATTTTCAGTAAAAACTGGTACCCCCCCACCAAGCTACTGCATACAGTTAATGGGGTGCAGCACGCAGAATGAAAAACACTGCACCAAGCATCCGTTTCCTTACCTCAGGGTCACTGCATTTGTATTCAATTTGTCTGGAAACCTTTTTGATGAACTCTTAAAAAAAATTCTTTTGTTTCTTTGAGAGAGCATCTCTCTGTTCAGTCCTGGCTGCCCTGGATCTCACTGTGTAGACCAGGCAGATCTCCTGCCTGTCTCCCAAGTGCTAGGATTCAAGGCGTGCACTCCTATGCCCGCCAGTACCGGGTACCGGGGCATCTCAGTTCACGACCTTGTGCTGTGCACCAAGTCATCTCTCCAGCCCAGGGTTCTGCTAATTCTTGAGGAGGGGAGGATTTTCAATCTTCTACTGCCTCGTACTTGACAAACTCTTCGCTTGGATCGCTCTTACTCCTTCATGAATCCATCACGGCATGTTTTCTCTGAAGCTGATGCCGCCTGAAGATGGTGGCAGATAACTCAGAACACATGCAGACAGCTCAGAACACAACAGAAAATCGGTGTACTGCGGCTCAGCTTCAAAGTTAGACATTTTCCAAAGTTAGACATTTCTCTCCGTACCTCTCAGACTCTAAACCCAGAAAGAGAGACTTTCACTACATTTCCTCATTTTCCCCCTTTTGGTTGGATTTGGTTCATCTCGCGTGTCTGTGTGTGTCTTTGTTTTATGTTTGTCTATATCTCCCTT